GACTCCAAGATCTATCTGTTAACTCTGTGTTTTATCGGTAGCTAATGGAGTGATGCTTTTCTTTAGTTTATAAGATATCAAAATACTTCTCAAATATTAGTAAGTAGACAAGCAATATATTTTTAGAGAATATAATTATTTTCTCTATTAGCCTTGTTATCTAGGTGGCACTGTAAAGCACAGAAGAGATGTTCTCTTAGTTGTGGTATTACATACTACTATGTAATAGTTAGTGTTTAGGTTACATTCATAGACTTTGGCAGGAAACTAGCGCTCCTGCAGTGTACTTGATGATATCTACTGTAGAAGACAGAATGCAAAGTTAGTGTCCAGAAAAATATACATAAAGAACTCATAAATTCTGCTGGGGCAGGAGGGCACCCAATCCAGGAATATTGTAAACACGTGCATTTGCCCTCTGCTACTCTGCATACCTGAGTATGCACGGTAGCATGGGAAGGAGCAGTGCAGTCAAAGTTAAGACACTACGCCGAGATAACAATTTTCGAAACATTGCTGGATCTCTCGAGGTGACCGTGTCTGTTAGCTGGAAAGGCTGCAACAACTCTGGGAGGAATACTTGTTACTGGAATAAAATGAGTGAAGTGACCTGAACACAAGAAAAAAACACTACGTGGACAAACCACAAAGTTTGGCTGTGGGAAAGCTTTCCTTCCTCATTGAATATCTTAAAATAGATAAATAAATTGACTGTTAGGCAGTCAGCAACATGGTCTCTGGGGGTCATGAAACCTGCCTGAAAACAAGAATAGATATTGCTGACCCTTCATCTGCAGTTGCAGGAAGGGCTTGGCTAACCTGGAGTTGAGTCATCTATACTGCAAACAGATAATAGATGGAAATGAGGTTATTCCAATGATAGACATTTGTAAGCGTAAGTGCTGAAGCACACATTTACTAGCTTGCTGGTAAGCCTGAGTACTTAGGACTGTAAATCAGGCTATAAAGTTGTGCCAGGGCTTGAAAAAAACAGGTGTGGTGGAAGGACACGAGAAGCAGCAAAATCAGATCTAATGTAAGTGTAGGCAATTTTAAGTACGTGCATAGATCTTACTGAATTCAGGAGTCAGGTACGCATTCATAGGTCTTTGCTGACCTGGGACATAAATTAATTTATCAGGATTATAGGAAGCGTCTGAGGTTGGGCCAACCTTTGGCAAAGCTTGCAACATTGGCTTTCAGTCCGAAGTGCATATATCTCCTTCATTTGAAAGAACTACTTAATGTTGTGGTCTTGTTCCAGGCTGCCCTTCTAGCTTTGGAGATGAACAGTTTCCCGTACAGCTTGCTGTGTGGGTGGTCTCTGAAAAACACATTCAGACTCTCTGACTCTGCTCTGCATGGGTATTCCCCTGCCCTTCTTACAAGTGCAAGTGCTTCCCTTGTGTCCCAGCCGACAATTTCTCCAGTGTCCACTGTGAATTATGCTCTGTGCCTCTTTTCCCCTCTTGACTGCTGCCTTCTGTCATGGAGGTGTTTCTTTTTTTTTCTTTTTTTTCTTTTTTTTCTTTTTTTTTCTGAGAAGTGGATTAATTCTTTGAAAGTGCAATTTCAAACCATTTGATTAAGGATTTCAATGGTCAAATGCACGCAGCAACTCCGTAGCACAGAACCTTAGTGACAGAAAAAATACATTTCAGTATTTTTATTTTACAAATTATTAGTGTAATAGAAAGATACTTGAACAATTTAAGAGACACCCTCTTGCCCCCCAAACAGCCAATGAAATTTTGCAACAACAAACTCCCTTTCATGTAAGGGAGGAAAACCAGAGCTTCTTCCTCAGACTAGCAAGTGCTAGGGATTACATATTTTGAAGCAAAGACAGATGAATAACATCTATGGCCCACATTTGTGACAGAAGCTAGCCTAAATGATGGCTTGTGTTCAGCTCTGTCATGCCAGGATGATCACTGGGAAGAAATCAGCTCCGAGGCACAAATGTTCTTTTCCCTAAAATTATATCTTATGTGCTGTTTTGGTTATATATAATCTCTGCTTACTCTTACTTCTTTTTTGTTAACATACCTCTCAGCAAAAATTGAATATATATTTTGTGTTTTCCCAATTGTTACAGAAAGAAAATATTCCCCAGTGTGTTAGGAAGATAAGACAATGGAAAATGTGTTATACTGAAGTTACGGAAAAATCATAATGGAAATGTTCTGCAAGTTTTTAATTCTGATTTTTTTTTTTCCTGAACAACTTGCAGAGCCAGTGATTTAGGTGGGGGGAATGGATAACAATATATTTTTATTAGCTTCATGTAATTGACAAAAATGCATATATTGACAATTTAGATTGAAAGAGTATATATTATTTTTTATTGTAATGAAGATAACTTTGGGGGATATTTTTTTGTCAAATTTTGGTAGTTTCATATTGCAAACAGGCTTAAGTAAGAAACTATATAATACCTATCTTTATTCCTGTTTGATTTCTTTCTGGGGAAAATAAACCTGTGTATTTCTTGTTTAAGATTAGCTCAGATAACTGAGACTATTATAGATGCAGAAATTTAATAACGACATTGAGGGTATTTGATCCTGGTCAGCAACAAACTATTTGCTTAGAAATGCCACAAGTATGCACACTCCCACCCGAACTCCCATGTTCATCTATATAGAATTTTAGTGGAATGCATAGAAATGAGTTTTTGCCCTCATTCTGAGGGGTTTCTGTTGATGCTGCTGTTGTCTTTGGTCTTAAGTGCTGGTGTAGTATCTTAATGACCCATCACAAACTGTTGTATTTATGGCTGTGCCCCTGTATTAAAAAAACTGGTTCTGAATTCTACTGAATTCATGTGTGTGTGTTTTCAGGTTTATTCTCATAGAATAACCGTATATTGGGGGACTCCCTACCATCTCACTTCAAGACTCTAACTTGTGATTTGCTGCATAGCATTTGAGAGAGAGAAAGAGAGAGGCTGCCTGACTCTTGAATAAGTTTGAGTAAATTCTTGAATATTTTCCATTCTCCCTGGGCTCTGAAGATAATGGCTTGTAATAGATGGTCAAGGTGGGCAGCGTAGGGGCCTAATCTTTCTTTTGTCAATACCAAAATATTCATAGAAAAGTAACTGTTTGCAGCGTTTGCTTCCATCCGTACAGCTGGAGAGCCAGACCTACCACAGTCATGAGACTTCAGATTCTTAGTTCTAATCTCAGCCTTGTGTCCGCAAATGTAGGTCGAGAGCAGTGGGTTAATATGCTTTTCCAGAAGCCTATTTCCTTTCATATCTCATTATAGTAACTTTCAAACTCAGAAACTACCAATGTACAGTGTCACTGGAGATCTGTTGACCTTACAGCTCAGCTAACAAGCCATGCTGTGAAATCTTGGGATGCCCTTTCATAGGTCGCTTTTTTTGGCACTTCTTAAAAGGTGAACTCCATTTGGCCTCAAGCTTATGGTCAATCTGGAGAACCACAACCCGATTTTTCACCCTGGCAAGACTTACCAAAAGTTTTGGGATGGGGTCTGCTCATTTGCCCAAATTATGTGTGGTATCTGCATCAATATACTGAGCCTTTTCCAGTAGGCTGTCGTTGCGGATTAAAAATTTTTACTGCATCTCACTGAGGCCTTCGGTTTGCCCTGATGCAGTTCTTCTCTGGGAACTACCTGTACTGTTGCAGTCCCAAATTGTGGAAGTGAATTAGTGAGCTGTTACTGGACACTGATTACAGAAAAAAAAAAGGGGTTGCAAAATAAAAAAAAAGTCTTTGAAGTGCAAGGTTCCTGTAGAAACTTGTAATACTGTAATGCAGTGAATGGATGTGTTCAATATGAGAATAAATTGCTTTTCTCAGTGTAACTGTCTCTTATTTATATACCATTTAGAAACAATCCAAGGAAAAGGAGAAAAATTTCTCTTGCCCTTCAGATAATACTTCCAGTCTTGCTGGAACTTGGAACTCACTGTAAGCTTACTCACTGTAAGCTACTTGGTGCAGTAGCTCATGGTACACACAGAACCAAGTAACTTGAGCAAAATATGACTGACATCAGTGTTATTCATAAAACACATTTTTAGTGGCTACACTGTAGCTCAGGGTTGGAAGTGACTGGCAGCATCAAGGAATGTCCTGAAGGTCTGCAGAAGCCACTGAGTCTGATAGCACCCTCTCGATAGTTGACTTTATCTGGCTAAAGCAATGTAAATGGTTTATTTTCCCAGAGGGGTGAAGCTGCGGAATGGTGCAGCTGTAACCAGCCAGGTGCCTGGGAAAGGAGCTGCGAGTGAGTCGCTGGGCTGAGTCGGTCCGTCTCTGGGAGGTTGCTCTCTGGGGGAGAAAGCAGAAGAGAAAGCGGTGGCCTCGTGGCTGCGCCTCTCCTCTGGCTATTAGAAATAATGCTGCTCCATGGTAGGAGGCAGGGGGCAGGTAGAAGGAGCCTTTTGTTTTCTTCTCCCCAGTTCTTCTGGAGGAAGAACAGCTCTGAGAGGAATGGGAGAGGTTCCCCCCAGGCAGGTCCCCTGTGCCCGCCACCCCCCTGGGGCCTCAGGGAGTCGTTTCTGCCTCAAAACTTCATCTAGGATTCTTTGCGGATTAAAAAAAGAAAAGGAAAGAAATCCTCTCCACTGTGGTCAATGTGCTATTTTGTCTACAGAGGTAGAGCGAGAGATTTCGTTGTGTAAACCTGTATTTAATGAGAGGGGGTGTGCTCAAACAAACTTACGTTACTGTAATTTATTTCACGTTACTAATGAGCATCCTAACAGCTGTATGTTTGAAATAAATGCTATCTCTTAGTGGGTTTTTGTTACTTCTGCTGTCATTATTTCACTGTTAGTGAGAAAAACCTCTTGTTTTACATCTAGTTTTTTGTGTGGTTCCACTTTGCCTTGTTTTCCTGCCATTTAAGGTAGCAAGAGAGGGATCCAGAATAGTTGCACATCTAGTTTCACACTGATAAGTTAAATCTGTCATAAAAAGATGACACATCATTTCCTAATTTTTTCAATTATATTTCAGATACCTCTTATATCTACAAATAAAAAGGGACATTTTCCATGGCCGTTTGCTGTGTTCTTTTTCTGATGCTGCCTACCTGGGTGCCTGTATTGTCCAAGGTAAGTACAAGCAGCAGGCTTTTTTAAATACTTAACTCATAGGTGCCTTCAGTAGAAAGAGAAACTCAAAATTGTTGTGGGAATATAGCTACCAATAACGTGGGTTTTTTTTTTCTCGGTTGTACTGTTTCCCTGCATTGACATGCATTGTAAAGTGTTTTTAAGTAATTCAGCCATTTAGCCAAATAAAACCAAACTGGAACTTTAAAAAAAAAAAACAACCAACCAACCAACCAATGAGTTATCTTAGCATTTAAGTGAAAAAGCATGGCATCAATGTTAGATTCCAGTTATAAACAGAGCAAAATTATGTTCTGAATCTCAAATGTAAATGTAGCCTATTCCGTTTGAACTAAGCAGGAAAAAGTGTCATTCAGTGCCCTTACTTATGGTAAAGATGACCTGTGTGATGACGGAATCTCTGGCAAAAATAGCAGATGTAATTCAAGGAGAAAGGTCTTTTTTTTCTCTTTTTTTTCATTCTCCCCCTCTTTCTCCCCATCGTTTCCTTGGGGCCAAATTCAGGTGTATGTCTTGGATTGCACACAGAGAAATAGTTAGCTAGATGTCTGTTAGGGACTTCGTATGTGTGGAAGTCCTCTTCATTCTGCCTTAACATGAATTAAGCTCTTAATGCATTATAAGGCATCATAGCCAAACCAAGATTTAGTCTAGACCTTATTAAAAGAGGCTTTTTTAGAAAATTAAAACACCAACTGCCATGTTTGGGTATCTAAGTGACACATCTTTTAGAAAAGGAATCAAATACTGCGGGCCACCTTAAATAATGTTACAGCCTGTGTTTCTCTGCTAGACAGAACTGAAGGAGTCCGTATCAGGAGGATAATTGGTGTGAAAAAGAGGAGAATCTGGAGTGCATTGTTTTAGTTCTGCCTGGTACCAGAATGACAAGTACTCAAAGGGGGAGCATTACCTATGCCTCTGTTTTACAGAGCATGTTTCTACCACAGAAAATAGGTTAAGATTGCTAATTACTGCTGCAGTTAATAAGCCATGATCTTCACTTGAAACTCATTGATTGAAGTGGCAGATTTTGTTGTTTCAGTTAACTATCAATTTTTCAAAGTAGCATTTCTTAAGAGATGCTGGATTCTGACTGATCATGGAAGTGTCTTGAATTACACTGTCTTTACTGACTTTTTACCATATTGACTAATGTTGCAATTGAATTTTTTTGTTTTGTTTTGTATTTCGGATCTGTTTAGCTGAGCTTGGTGATTATGATCCTGATGAACACCCAGAGAATTACATCAGCGACTTTAAGATTTTTCCCAAGCAATCACAAAAGCTTGAGAAGAAAATAGCTGAAATGCATAAAAATGAATTCAGGTAATTTAGAATGCTACTTGGTAAAGGGACAGCTAAGAAATACTTTTATCTGTTTCCAAATAGTGTATGTTAACTTAGGAGGGTTTGTTCCTTGGATTATAATAGATGCTCTACCAATATACTGTCTAATATGCTGTATTTGAAAATGCAGTTTCAGCTTAGTGGGTTTTCTTTTCCTGTTAACCTTCATTAATCATAGCTGATTCCTGCATGTGTGCTGGTAATTTAGACTGCTTGAAATGTAGGCCTGGTTAGGGGGAGGGCTCCCATCATGAGTGCTGCTCTGGTTGATTAGTGGAATAACATCTTTCATTTAGGGATCACACTTATGTCTTTTGCTGTGAAATTTCTGGATGTAGTGCAATTATAGAATTCTTGATAGATACTGACCTCACTGAAACTGTAATAAAGTTATTTTATCTGTAGGTTGCTAACATAGTGGTGAATTGCACAGAAATGTATTTAAGTAACTTCTCTGGAACACTAAGGAGGTGAGATTCAGAACTCTGCATGCTCTTTTTCTGTCCTAAACTTTTAATAGTGTGACAAAGGGGAATGAAGAAAGATAGATTAATCAATCTCTTGGTTTCAAAGTTGAATGTGCCTCTGAAGTATGGTGTTTCAGGAGAGAAGTAGCAGTGCGTTGTGCAACTATACCCTCTTCAGGATTGTCAGCGAATGACACGCACAGCAGTCATGACGGCAGCTTGCACCATACCCTCCCTAGTCATTTCGCTTAGTTGAGCATAGTCCTCGGAAAACTTAGAGAGGAATAGGATGTGAAGAACATAAAATGAAAGCCGATGATTAATTACATAAAGTAGAAGTTAGGCGCAGTGGCTTATAGCTCTTTGCAGCCCTCAGGAACTGTCTTCTTTCTTTTCTGTTTTCTTTCACTTATGCCAGCATCTGATGTGCCTTACCTATTTGTCTGGTTACAAAGACAGTTTCAGAGCTGTCTGGATAGCTACTGTCTGGCAAATTTCACTGTAGCTCTGTCTTCCCATTTATTATTTATTATTTATAATAAGTTATTACATTTTTTACATCAGACATTCACTAGTCACATAGAAGTTTTACCTTTTTCCCGATACTTAATTCCATGGATCTCTATTCTAGGAGTACAAATTAATAAAACATATCAGTCATATAATGAGCTATATATAGAGAGGTCCAGTGCTAGACGATCAGATTTCCATATCTAGCTGGAAAAAGATGATTAGAAAAAACCCTGAGCTTACTACAGGCTTCTGTCTGGTATTGATCAGCACATCTGTCTCACTGCATTCAGCGAGTTGAATTTTCTGATAAGAATTAATATTTTGCTGCTCAGTGAGTATTTTTAAAAATGCTGCAGAAGGTTCCCCTGGCCTTTTTGTAACAAGATATTTGAATGACATGTTAGATGAGAGCTGTTGTGTGAGGAGAGCAGAAGAGACTAAGAGCCATTTAAATCCAGCTGCCATTCTGCTACCTTCAGAAGAGTTACTTCTGAGTGTCGGCACTGCAAGTGGGTCTGGTTCTTCGTTTTCTTTACACATGTAAATAAACAAAGATCATGGCATCTCTCTCCTGCAGCAGGCTCCCATATAGCCAAAGCCCTGTGACTTGGAAGGGGCTAGTTCTTCACTGAATCCTGTCTCGGCATCCTCCAGGCCTGTTCACTGGGCACATCTTTTCTTCTGTCCTACAGCACGATGGAAGAATTTGCCTTTTGAAAGGCGCATGAAGACAGTGAGGGGAAGTGGCGATAGGGTACTGTGATAGCTGCCACTGACTTGGTGACTCATCATGTGTCATTTAGAAGCCTTGTTCTTGTTAATTAAAACAGATGTATGATATGGTCCCCCTATTTCTTATCCTTTGTGGCTGTGAGAACAACACTGGATTTTAGCAAAATGTGACCTTTTATGTGACTTTCCCCTGCACCTAATTGCAAAAATATAAATGTGACAGAAATGCATGTCAGCTTTATTGTGCTGTGATTAATTGTCTTGTGAATTTTAATTACTTATTCTTCCCTCATTGAGAAAGGGAGAGGTACAGGAATAATTTCATTGAACCTTACCAGTGGTGGGGTAAACACCTGCCTTCATTTCATCACAATACATGTTCTCCATTTCCTGTCATTCCAAGTAAGTCCTCTTTTGAAATGTAGTATACTGCTGGGAGGCGAAGAGATAATGCTCTTGTGACTTAAAATCTTAGAATATGTGAGGATGCACTAGGAACTGATGAGACTTGGAGACTTGTTCTTAAAAGAATTCAAAATTGATTTGAATATTACGTTTTTGGGTGTGGTTACAACAGAGCATAGCTACTGAAGTAGTAGCTACTTGCATTTCTGTTTCCCTGCCACTCTTAACAGATTGGAAGAAAAATTAAAATCTAGATATTCTGTGAGTGTATTCTGGTATATCTTCTTCTTCAAGTGAAGTGAATGCTAAGGTCCTCCCCAGGTTGTTCATTTGCGTGTCCCTTATCCAGTTTAGTTAGATGTGTGCAAATGTTTGTAAGGTTGCATTGTAAATCACATCAGTGAAATGATTCAGGTTAAAAATAAGTTATTTTCTTCTACTTGACTTCCACGCAAAAGTACATGGAACCACATGTTCAGTTCTCACCTATTTTGTCAGTATTAAAGATATTTAATACACTGCACTGTGCTCGGTGTATAAAGCCATAGTTCATTTTTACTTCTGGAGACCAAAAGCCCCCAGCCTAACAAAAATATAGTGAAGAATTCTGTATAGAATGCTGGGGAATTTGGGGAAAACCAAAACAAAACTAACCTATCAAATGAGGTTAAGCAGAGCCATAAAATCTTCTAGGTGGAAGAGAGGAAAGCTGAGTGAAAGGTTAATTCTTCAAGCATAAGAGTAGGGATTACTAGGATTACTGGGTTTTTATGTGAAGGATCACTCAGGTGATCTTAGTAATCTCTTTGGGATTCGAGGTTTTGTTTTGTTACGGTTTTTTTTAACATATCAGGAGTTTGCTCCTTTCAGATGTTCCCAAAACAGTTGTACTTTTTCCATGGCAGAATTAGTACTGTTTGTTTGTTTGGGCAACCTGCATTAGTAGCTGGCCCGGTTATTGCTTCTAGTTCTTGCTATTGGATTTTGTGGGCTCCTCTTACAAAAGAATGGACTTTGTACGTATGTACGCACCTGTGTCAGTACTAGTTCTAAATTGACTTCTGTGTTGTTACAACTGTGGGATTTGCTTCAGATGACCAAATAAAACATCAGATGCTTTTAGTGCAATCACATTCCTTTCTCCTTTTTCCAAGACAAAAATTCTTTCCTATGAATTTATGTCTTTACCTTATCATATGTCCTTTAATAGAACATTTGTTACTTTGATAAAATTCCCTGTCTTTTGAAAGATACCTGTCAGCCAGAGCTCCCTGAGGCCAGACATCTGAAAATACAGAGATTTCCAAAGAGAAGATCCACATAAATCCTTATCAAGGGAATTTATATTTGTAGGAATCATGGTTTTTTTCCCTTTTTAAATTTTTTGAAAGGACCCAGTGGTTGAAAATAAAGATTATTTTTTGAAAGCTTTTTCTGAAAGCTAATGCTCCCTTTTTACTTTTTCTGATACGAAATATTATGCCATGTAATTTACATGAAACTGTTATGTAAACAGCCATTAATTTATTTGAAAGTCCTACGCGAATGTTAACTTTGCCCAGTAAATTACAGAGTTACATGACCTGTTCAAATGACTGTTTTCCAGGCTGACCTCATATAGGTAAATGCAAGTTATTTATTATTGCTTGGGATGGTGTCATGGTTTAACCTGGCAGGCAGCCAAACCCCACGCAGCCGCTCGCTCACCCCCCACCCCCCAGTGGGACGGTGAGAGAATCAGAAGGGTAAGAGTGAGAAAAACTCGTGGGTTGAGATAAAGACAGTTTAATAGAACAGAAAAGGGAAAATAATAGTAATAAAATGATAATGGTAGAACATACAAAATGAGTGATGCACAATGCTCACCACCTGCAGTGACCGATAACTAAGTAGTGATCGTTACTTCCTGGAACATGCCTACCATTCATATACTGAGCATGACGTCACATGGTATGGAATACCCCGTTGGCCAGCTGGGCCAGCTGTCCTGGCTATGCTCCCTCCCAGCCTCTGCTTGGTAGAGCATGGGAGCTGTCCTTGGACTAGGAGGGTACTTAGCAACAACTGAAAACATCAGTGTGTTATCAATATTCTTCTCATACTAAATCCAAAACACAGCACTAGGAAGAAATTTAACTCTGTCCCAGCTGAAACCAGGACAGATGGCCAGAGTGGATACAGGCTCAAGAAGGTTGAGTGCTACTGAATTGGCTGTCGTCTCCATTGTGTGTATCAAGTACTCCAGCTTTTGCGAAAGTCATATGTGGGAGAACATCTTTTGGGAGAATAAAAAGTTTCCTCTGAGGGCATGAAATCACTGCCATGTTCTGCTATTAACTACCTCTAAAACAATTTAAACTTTTAAGCTAAGGGGTAGTATTTTCTTCAAAGCTAGATAGCAAATTAATGCTTATCTTTGATCCAAGCTAATCAGAAGTGTTGTTTAAATTTGATTTGAAAGGCGTGCAACATTTTTATCCTTTGCTGCATCATCCACGCTGTAACTACTCCATGGGGATTTAAGCACTTTTAACTTTCCTCCGCTGCTCTAACTCTTACTGTATTCCTTTCACCGTACCATTGGTTACCCTGGGTGCTTAGACTCTGGTGCTAGCAGGAGTACAGGATTTCTTGGTCTCTTCTGATCTGGTTCTCCAGCTCTCGTGCAGACATGGAGCTGTGACTGGAGCCACTGGCAAGCATAATTACAAATGTAACTATCAGAGTATATTCTGGGAGGCTGTCCTAGAAGACTTGGCAAGGGTTGCTAGAAAATGCTTCTCTTTGTGGGCGTTAATATCGTTTGATCCAAGATTAAAGCAACTTCTCGCATGCTGTTGAATACATTAAAAAGTGCTAAAA